CTCCCACTGATACCAATGACGGGGCACTATTCCTCCCACTGATACCAATGATGGGGCACTATTCTTTCCACTGATACCAATGATGGGGCACTATTCCTCCCACTGATACCAATGATGGGGCACTATTCCTCCCACTGATACCAATGATGGGGCACTATTCCTCCCACTGATACCAATGATGGGGCACTATTCCTCCCACTGATACCAATGACGGGGCACTATTCCTCCCACTGACACCAATGATGGGGCACTATTCCTCCCACTGACACCAATGATGGGGCACTATTCCTCCCACTGACACCAATGATGGGGCACTATTCCTCCCACTGATACCAATGATGGGGCACTATTCCTCCCACTGATACCAATGACGGGGCACTATTCCTCACACTGATACCAATGATGGGGCACTATTCCTTCCACTGATACCAATGATGGGGCACTATTCCTTCCACTGATACCAATGATGGGGCACTATTCCTCCCACTGATATGAATGATAGGACACTATTCCTCCCACTGATATCAATGATGGGGCACTATCAAGTCCTGGGAGGGCGTCATATGACGTCCTCCCAGAACGCACCTCCTGTGCGCCCTTGGGGGCACGCACCTGGCAATCTCTGTGATCGCTGTGCCATATGGACACAGTTGATCACATGATGTGGTAAAAGGCCAATCACAGCTGCCTTTTACCATGTGATCAGCTGTGTCCAATGACACAGCAGATCACCGGTAAATGCTGTTGCTGATTATCGACTGCACTTTCCTCACACTGTCACAGCGTGAGGAGAGTACTGCCGAGAACCGGCAATTGTCAAGAGGATGGATCAGCACTGATGATCAGTGCCCTGATGATCGGTACCCACCAATGCCACCCACTTGTGCCCATCAGTGCCACCCACCTGTGCCCATCAGTGCCTAGTAGTGCCACCCACCTGTGCCCAGCAGTGCCACCAGTCAGTGCCCAGTGGTGTCACCCATCCGTGCCCATCAGTGCCACCTATCAGTGCCCATAATTGTTGCATATTAGTGCAGCATCATCAGTGCCAACTCATCAGTGCCACCTATCTGTGCCCCTTCTTCAGTGCTGCCTATTAGTTCCCATCAGTGCCGCCTGTCAGTGCCCATCAGTGCCGCCTATGTGCCACCTCCTCAGTGCCGCCTATCAGTGCTGCCTATCTGTGCCACCTCCACAGTGCCGCCTATCAGTGCCCATCAGCATTGCCTATCAGTGCAGCCTCATCAGCGCACATCAGTGAAGGAGAAAAAATTACCTGTTTGCAAAATTTTATAATAGAAACAAATAACTTGTTTTTTCTAATTTTTTGCTCTTTTTTTGTTTATAGTGCAAAAAATAAAACCCCCAGCAGCAAGGAAATACCACCAAAAGAAAGCTCTATTTCTGTGAAAACAATTATAAAAATATCATATGGGTACAGTGTTGCATGACTGCGCAATTGTCATTCAAAGTGCGACAGTGAAAAAGCTGAAAATTGGCCTGTGCAGGAAGGGGGTATAAGTGCCCGGAAGGCAAGTGGTCTTTCATAGCCATTCATTGTGTGCCATTGTATTGATCTCCGTGACTGGTCACAGTGATCACATGATACAGACAGGGCCAATCACAGTGCATTTGTACCATGTGATAGCTGTGGCCAATCACAGCTTTACAGTAGTACACCTTGGATGGACAGATGCCAGACATCAAAAAAAGGATTGCTTATGACAGTTATCACGGTTTTAAATTAATACATTTTATACAAAAAATGTTTTCAACGTATTTATGTGTAAATTGAAATATTCAATCAGGAATCTTACCTTGTGCTAAAAATGACCAGTAGAATAGTAACTTTAGACCAAAAAATACGCAGACTCTTAGAAAACTGAGTGAGAGTACGATTTCACCAGATCTGAAAAATAAAATTTTGAAAAGTACTACGATATAAAAATTGTGTTAGAAAATTTTGCTGAGTAACGATTGATTGTAAATGTATTTATAACCGTATGCCCATATGGAAGAAAAATATATTTTCAATATATTTAGAAAAAAAAAAAAAAACATGCGATGTATATTTACAATATATTGGCCTACATACTGTATAATAATAATAATACATAAATATATTTTAACGTGTATTCCAAAAATGTAGATTAAAATATATTTTCCAGATATTTTTGATCATCTAAAAAAATGCATTTAAGCATAGATTTTTAAATATACTTGTAAATGCATTCCAAATTACACTTTGATATATATTGCCGCATGTGTTCTGAATATAATTTTTTATAATAATAATATTCACAAATATATTTTTGAAATATATTGAATATGGTCAAAATCGTAGTAGCTGAAATATATGTCAATATATTTGGGAAGAATATATTAAGAATGTATTTTTAAAATATATTTTTCTTCCATGTGGGTGTGATGTGTCCAAGATCATAAAATGATGCAGCTCATTTTCATAGCTACGCATGTATAATCTTTAGGCCTCACGTACACTGTTGTTCCTAAACGTGAGTTTAGGAGCCTTTGGTGTTTTTTTTTGCCACAGCCCCTGAACTCAACTCAATAAAAGCCTGTGTGTTCACGTACACATAGACGTTTTCCAGAGTTTACTCACATGGAAGAAAAATATATTTGAAATATATATTAAAAATATTCTTCCCAAATATATTTACATATATTTGAAATGCTACAATTTTGGCCGTATTCAAAAAAAAAAAAAAAAAAATATAATAATAATATATATATATAATATATATATATATATATATATATACACATACACACACACACATACACACACACATATATACACACACTACACTGCATGCTGAAATGCGTTTTTATTACAAAATATATGAAAAATATGTTTTAAAACACATTCAAGTATACTGTATTTCTTTAAAAATACAAGTCTACATTTTTGGAATGCATTTACAAGTATATGTAAAAATAGATGTTAAAAATGACTTTTTTGTATGTTAAAAAAATCAGTAATAATAGGGAGCTGAGGACAGTAATGGAGGGGGGGTGCTGAGGACCGTAATGTGAGGGGGCGGAGGACAGTAATGGGGGGGTGTTGAGGACTGTAATGTGAGGGGGCGGAGGACAGTAATGGGGGGTGTTGAGGACCGTAATGTGAGGGGGCGGAGGACAGTAATAGGGGGGGTGTTGAGGACCGTAATGTGAGGGGGCGGAGGACAGTAATAGGGGGGGTGTTGAGGACCGTAATGTGAGGGGGCGGAGGACAGTAATAGGGGGGGTGTTGAGGACCGTAATGTGAGGGGGCGGAGGACAGTAATAGGGGGGGGTGTTGAGGACCATAATGTGAGGGGGGGCTGAGGACCGTAATGGGGGCAAGTACAGTAATAATGGGGGAGCTGAGGACAATAATGGAGGTGCTAATGGACAGTAATGGGGTGAGGACGGTAATAATGAGGAATAGTAGGTGCTGTGGACAGTAATGGGGTGAGGACGGTAATAATGGGGGAGCGGGAGGACAATAATGAGAGGGTGCGGAGGACAGTAATGAGGGGACTTAGGACAATCATGAGGGGCTAAGAACAGTAATGGGGGCGTGTACAGTAACAATGGGGAAGCATAGGACAGTAATGGGGGGTGCTGAGGATCATAATGTGAGGGAAGCTGAGGACAGTAATGGGGGCTTGTACAGTAACAATGGGGGAGCTGAGGACAGTAATAGGGGTGCTGAGGACTGTAATGTGAGGGCAGATGAGGACAGTAATGGGGGAGAGTACAGTAACAATGGGGGAGCTGAGGACAGTAATGGGGGGTGCTGAGGACTGTAATGTGAGGGCAGATGAGGACCGAGATGGGGCAAGTACAGTAACAATGGGGGAGCTGAGGACAGTAATGGGGGGTGCTGAGACCGTAATGTGAGGGCAGGCTGAGGACCGAGATGGGGCAAGTACAGTAATAATAGGGGGCTGAGGCCAGTAATGGGGGTGCTGAGGACCGTAATGTGAGCGGGGCGAGCAGTAAGGGGGACAGTAATGGGGTGAGGACGGTAATAATGGGGGAGCGGAGGACAATAATGAGAGGGTGCTGAGGACTGTAATGGGGGCTGAGGACGGTAATAATGGGGGAGCGGAGGACAATAATGAGAGGGGGAGCTAATGACTAATGGGGGAGCAGAGGACAGTAATAATGAGGGGAGCGGAGGACAATAATGAGAGGGTGCTGAGGACAGTAATAGGACGGGGGGGAGCGGAGGACAATAATGAGAGGGTGCTGAGGACAGTAATAACGGTGAGGACGGTAATAATAGGGGAGCTGAGGCCAGTAATGGATGGGGTGTGAACCTAATAATGGGGAAGCGGAGGACAATAATTCCTGCTCTAATGGCTGTTGAGGACAGTAATATGGGGAGCTGAGGTGTACGGGGGGAGCCTTTCCTCTCTATACAACACTGAGTGGGTGTACGGATTTTTGTTTTGATACATGTTTTTTTAGCCTAGTAGTCCATTATCTCACACGCACACGGTGTCAGGTCACCACTCTGCATAAAATCCTTCCTGTTCAGGTGGTGGTGTGACATTTTGCATGAGGTGGGGAAGATTCAGGTGCTTGAGAGAGACAAGTAGGGTCATGAAGGCATGAAGGCGTGGAGGGGTTTCAAGCTTCCCTGACTACCAGGAGTCTCTTTCTGGGGTGTGGCTGTCTGTCTCTTATCACCCGAGGTTTTTTTTCCTTGATGCTCAATAATTGAAAAATGGCTGCATACGTAGGCGATGGGTTGTGCCTCTTAGGCCCTCTCTGCTGCTTTATGTAAATAGTTTTCAATAGTCTGAAAATATTGGTAGTAAACTCTGTATATATGGTATATATTCTGGACATAGGTGTACATTCCTTTTGTTTTCTGTTGTATGACCGTACTAAGGTTATGTTTTATTACTTTTGTATAAAATTATGCTGCTTGATTCTTTTCAATAAAATATCAAGTGTCCCATCATTGATATCAGTGGGAGGAATAGTGTCCCGTCATTGGTGTCAGTGGGAGGAATAGTGCCCCGTCATTGGTGTCAGAGGGAGGAATAGTGCCCCGTCATTGGTGTCAGTGGGAGGAATAGTGCCCCGTCATTGGTGTCAGTGGGAGGAACAGTGCCCCGTCATTGGTGTCAGTGGGAGGAAACAGTGCCCCGTCATTGTGTCAGTGGGAGGAACAGTGCCCCGTCATTGGTGTCAGTGGGAGGAACAGTGCCCCCCGTCATTGGAGTCAGTGGGAGGAACAGTGCCCCGTCATTGGAGTCAGTGGGAGGAACAGTGCCCCGTCATTGGAGTCAGTGGGAGGAACAGTGCCCCGTCATTGGAGTCAGTGGGAGGAACAGTGCCCCGTCATTGGAGTCAGTGGGAGGAACAGTGCCCCGTCATTGGAGTCAGTGGGAGGAACAGTGCCCCGTCATTGGAGTCAGTGGGAGGAACAGTGCCCCGTCATTGGAGTCAGTGGGAGGAACAGTGCCCCGTCATTGGAGTCAGTGGGAGGAACAGTGCCCCGTCATTGGAGTCAGTGGGAGGAACAGTGCCCCGTCATTGGAGTCAGTGGGAGGAACAGTGCCCCGTCATTGGAGTCAGTGGGAGGAACAGTGCCCCGTCATTGGAGTCAGTGGGAGGAACAGTGCCCCGTCATTGGAGTCAGTGGGAGGAACAGTGCCCCGTCATTGGAGTCAGTGGGAGGAACAGTGCCCCGTCATTGGAGTCAGTGGGAGGAACAGTGCCCCGTCATTGGAGTCAGTGGGAGGAACAGTGCCCCGTCATTGGTGTCAGTGGGAGGAACAGTGCCCCGTCATTGGTGTCAGTGGGAGGAACAGTGCCCCGTCATTGGTGTCAGTGGGAGGAACAGTGCCCCGTCATTGGTGTCAGTGGGAGGAACAGTGTCCCGTCATTGGTGTCAGTGGGAGGAACAGTGTCCCGTCATTGGTGTCAGTGGGAGGAACAGTGTCCCGTCATTGGTGTCAGTGGGAGGAACAGTGTCCCATCATTGGTGTCAGTGGGAGGAATAGTACCCTATCTTGGTGTCAGTGGGAGGAATAGTGCCCCATTATCATCAGTGAAAGGAATAGTGCCCCATCATTGGTGTCAGTAGGAGGAATAATGCCCCATTATTGGTGTCAATGGGAGAAATAGTGCCCCTCTCATTTTTTTAGCATTTTTCCTTTTTCTAATGTAATGTGGCACATTGAAATCTTTTAGGATTTATATATGCATGAAATTACCTCCTTGCTTACCCCTCACTGGGCAAAACAAAGCTGCAGGTTAAAAAAAATCAATTACCCAATGAGTAAGCTCACCTCCAAATCCGTGTCAACTTACAAAAACGCAAATAAAACATTAAAAAAAATAACGTGAAACTATGCAATGGGGGAGATTTCCTACAACTGGTGCGCTCGGAATCGGGTGCAGCTCCACCGACGCTCTACAATACCGCCGACAATGAAGGATGATTGCGGAGAATCGATAAAACGGATGAGATAGACCAGGGGTGGGCAAACTTTTTTGACTTGAGGGCCGCAATGGGTTCATATATTGGACCCGGGGGCCGGACCAAGAGTAGATGAATGATGTGTATGTGTCATCCATAGTAAGTTTAGTAATATTCCCCCATATAGTAATTCACCCCCCATAGTAATTCATCCCCCATATAGTAATTCATTCTCCATATAGTAATTTATCCCCCACATAGTAATTCATCCCCCACATAGTAATTCATCCCCCACATAGTAATTCATCCCCCACATAGTAATTCATCCCCCATATAGTAATTCGTCCCCCCTATAGTAATTCGTCCCCCCTATAGTCAATTCATCCCCCATAGTAATTCATCCCCCATAGTAATTCATCCCCCATAGTAATTCATCCCCCATATAGCAATTCATCCCCCATAGTAATTCATCCCCCATATAGTAATTCATCCCCCATAGTAATTCATCCCCCATAGTAATTCATTCCCCATATAGTAATTCATCCCCCATATAGTAATTCATCCCCCATATAGTAATTCATCCCCCATAGTAATTCATCCCCCATAGTAATTCATCCCCCATAGTAATTCATCCCCCATATAGTAATTCATCCCCCATTGTAATTAATCCCCCCATAGAGTATATAGTAATTCATCCCCCATATAGTAATTCATCCCCCATAGTAATTCATCCCCCATATAGTAATTCATCCCCCATATAGTAATTCATCCCCCATATAGTAATTCATCCCCCCATATAGTAATTCATCCCCCATATAGTAATTCATCCCCCATAGTAATTCATCCCCCAAATAGTAATTCATCCCCCCTATAGTAATTCATTCCCCATATTAATTCATCCCCCATATTAATTCATCCCCCATATTAAGTCCCCAAGTCCCCCCTGTGTCAATTCACTTACCTTTGCTCCGCACGTTCCTCTCGCCATGTTCCCGCGCTGTTCCCGGTGTAGCATGAAAATCTGTCTCCTATGAGGATCTGTCCCCCTCGACGTATCTGCGCATTTGCCAGTTTCAGGCATTAGCAGCCGATCGGCGATCTCCGGGACATGCGCAGATACGTCGAGGGGGACAGATCCTCATAGGAGACAGATTTTCATGCTACACCGGTATTCAGGGCGGACTGTGAGAGGAGCCTAGCGGGAGCCTAGCTCCGCGGGCCGGATTAAAAGGTCCGCCGGGCCGTATACGGCTCGCGGGCCGTAGTTTGCCCATTGCTGAGATAGAGGGGTCAAATTTTCCTCTACCTGGTACACAGCTGGACTTATTTTAAGATAACTTCTGCAAAAAACAACTCACCCAAGCTCTACTGCTACTCAGAAAGATGGGAGTGGGTTGCTGTGCTCAGGCTGATTTTTGAATCCTAGACATATATAGCAATCTAGCTGGCAACTCATTTCTTCATCATAAGATCTTTATTAGCACACAGTAGATGTAAAATTCCATCAAAGCTGATGCGTTGTGGCCAAAACGCATCAAATTTACACCTGGGCAACACAGTGGCTAAATGGTTAGCATTTCCACCTGGCAGTACTTGCGTCGCTTGTTCGAATCCCACCACCTGCCTGGAATTTGCATGTTCTTCCTCTGCCTGCGTGGGTTTCCTCCAGGTACTCCAGTTTCCTCCCACACGCCACACACATGCTGGTAGGTTAATTGGCTCCTGTCTAAATTGTCCCTAGTATGTGTATGTATGAATGTGAATTAGGGACCTTAGATTGTACGCCCCTTGATGGTTAGGGACTGATGTGAATGTACAATATATATGTAAAAGCTTTGCATAAATTGAAGGCGCTATATAAGTACCTGAAATAAATAAATAAATCTTCTACTGTGTGCTAATAAAGATATTATGATGAAGAAATTAGTTGCCGGCTCTATATATATATCACAAAGTATATATGACCACAAAAAGTAAAGTGTATGCTGTAACCATGAGCTCCTCGGCTCCTATACCGCTCATACTCTTTGAGGATCACCTTTGGACATAGGCAACCCTACTGGACTGATCTGTAACCCATTTGCAGAGGATAGGAGAAAGAACGAACCCTTACCGCCTAAATTTAGACCCCTCACCTATTCCCGATCCTTACTTCTACGCCTATAATCTCGTCCCTCCACCTTCTTTTTCTATCCCCTCTTTCCTCCCACTCCTATTCTTCTCCCTTCCTCCGTAATACCCCCCCACCCCGCCCCCACCAGTGACTCAAAGCTGCATCTTTAATTTGGCTACTGTACATGCGAGTTTCTGATGGGATATCACTTCTTGTTTGCATTTGATAACAATACTTGGTTGTTTCTCATGACTAATCTTTATCTACTGGAATTCTTGTTTCTGTTTGAGTTCTTCCGTGTTCTTTTGTGTTCTTCCAATTCACTGTGTTCTTCCTTTTCTATATCCTGGCATAATATGTATCAGGGGTCTTCACACTTTTCAAACAAAGGGCCAGTATATGGTCCTTCAGACTTCAGGAGGGTCAGATTAGGACCAGTGAGGATAGAAAATATCCTGTCCCCAGCATCAGTGAGAATAAACATGGCCACAGGGTTGATGGTCAGCAGGAGGAGTAGCGCCTCAGGGTTCATGGTCAGCAGGAGGAGTAGCGCCTCAGGGTTCATGGTCAGCAGGAGGAGTAGCGCCTCAGGGTTCATGGTCAGCAGGAGGAGTAGCGCCTCAGGGTTCATGGTCAGCAGGAGGAGTAGCGCCTCAGGGTTCATGGTCAGCAGGAGGAGTAGCGCCTCAGGGTTCATGGTCAGCAGGAGGAGTAGCGCCTCAGGGTTCATGGACAGCAGGAGGAGTAGCGCCCTCAGGGTTCATGGTCAGCAGGAGGAGTAGCGCCTCAGGGTTCATGGTCAGCAGGAGGAGTAGCGCCTCAGGGTTCATGGTCAGCAGGAGGAGTAGCGCCTCAGGGTTCATGGTCAGCAGGAGGAGTAGCGCCTCAGGGTTCATGGTCAGCAGGAGGAGTAGCGCCTCAGGGTTCATGGTCAGCAGGAGGAGTAGCGCCTCAGGGTTCATGGTCAGCAGGAGGAGTAGCGCCTCAGGGTTCATGGTCAGCAGGAGGAGGAGCGCCTCAGGGTTCATGGTCAGCAGGAGGAGTAGCGCCTCAGGGTTCATGGTCAGCAGGAGGAGTAGCGCCTCAGGGTTCATGGTCAGCAGGAGGAGTAGCGCCTCAGGGTTCATGGTCAGCAGGAGAGTAGCGCCTCAGGGTTCATGGTCAGCAGGAGGAGTAGCGCCTCAGGGTTCATGGTCAGTAGGAGGAGTAGCGCCTCAGGGTTCATGGTCAGCAGGAGGAGTAGCGCCTCAGGGTTCATGGTCAGCAGGTGGAGTAGCGCCTCAGGGTTCATGGACAGCAGGAGGAGTAGCGCCTCAGGGTTCATGGACAGCAGGAGGAGTAGCGCCTCAGGGTTCATGGACAGCAGGAGGAGTAGCGCCTCAGGGTTCATGGACAGCAGGAGGAGTAGCGCCTCAGGGTTCATGGACAGCAGGAGGAGTAGCGCCTCAGGGTTCATGGACAGCAGGAGGAGTAGCGCCTCAGGGTTCATGGTCAGCAGGAGGAGTAGCGCCTCAGGGTTCATGGTCAGCAGGAGGAGTAGCGCCTCAGGGTTCATGGTCAGCAGGAGGAGTAGCGCCTCAGGGTTCATGGTCAGCAGGAGGAGTAGCGCCTCAGGGTTCATGGTCAGCAGGAGGAGTAGCGCCTCAGGGTTCATGGTCAGCAGGAGGAGTAGCGCCTCAGGGTTCATGGTCAGCAGGAGGAGTAGCGCCTCAGGGTTCATGGTCAGCAGGAGGAGTAGCGCCTCAGGGTTCATGGTCAGCAGGAGGAGTAGCGCCTCAGGGCTCATGGTCAGCAGGAGGAGTAGCGCCTCAGGGCTCATGGTCAGCAGGAGGAGTAGCGCCTCAGGGCTCATGGTCAGCAGGAGGAGGAGTAGCGCCTCAGGGCTCATGGTCAGCAGGAGGAGTAGCGCCTCAGGGCTCATGGTCAGCAGGAGGAGTAGTGCCTCAGGGCTCATGGTCAGCAGGAGGAGTAGCGCCTCAGGGCTCATGGTCAGCAGGAGGAGTAGCGCCTCAGGGTTCATGGTCAGCAGGAGGAGTAGCGCCTCAGGGTTCATGGCCAGCAGGAGGAGTAGCGCCTCAGGGTTGATGGCCAGCAGGAGGAGTAGCGCCTCAGGGTTGATGGCCAGCAGGAGGAGTAGCGCCTCAGGGTTGATGGCCAGCAGGAGGAGTAGCGTAGTGCCTCAGGGTTGATGGCCAGCAGGAGGAGTAGCGCCTCATGGTTGATGGCCAGCAGGAGGAGTAGCGCCTCAGGGTTGATGGCCAGCAGGAGGAGTAGCGCCTCAGGGTTGATGGCCAGCAGGAGGAGTAGCGCCTCAGGGTTGATGGCCAGCAGGAGGAGTAGCGCCTCAGGGTTGATGGCCAGCAGGAGGAGTAGCGCCTGAGGGTTGATGGTCAGCAGGAGGAGTAGCGCCCCAACATTGGTATCAGTGGGAAGAATAGTACACCATCATTGGTTTCAATGGAAGAAGTGCTGCCCCATTGTTGGTCTCAGTGGGAGGAATAGTGCCCCAAGGGCTGGATAAAGGGTAGTAAAGGGCCATATCTGGGGGCCACAGCTTGGAGACCCCCAATATAAATTTTTTAAGTCTTGTTTTTCTGAAACAAAAAGAATCTGGTGCAGCTGTGCATGAGAGCCAATCAGCTACTGACTTCAGCTTGTTCAATTAAGCGTTGACAATAAAACCTGGAAACCGATTGGTTTTCTCTACAGAGCCGCACCAGATTTTGCGCTCTCCAGTTTTAGGAAATCAACCCCAATATCTCCTTCCCGTAACAGTACTCAATATATATGTGCAAAATTATATGAACTGTGAGTTTATGTCCACATAAGTCCTCGAGTTCATTTACCCATGTTGTGGAACAGGTAACCGCCAATCAGCTTTTGACTTCACAGTAAAAAAATGGGACTCAGCGAGCGCTTATAAATAGCAGCCGATATACTAAAAGGAAACCACAAACCTAAAATCAAAATGTAAAAATATTGTGCAGCGCTAAAAACAAATAATAAATGCCAAAACGCATAAAATGACCAGTATAAACGCATAATCTGCACGGAAACGTTAATACTTCGGATACTAAATTAGTGTCCAATGGAGAAATGCAGATAGATATACCAAATGGATAACTATTCGTATCCCTTAGAACTGTACAAGGTGCTCGTATATGAAATCATAACATAAAAATGATATTATATTGATAGGTCAAAAGTTTGGTATAAGTGCAGCTAAAAGATTCAGAAAGGTGACACTTATTCTCCCAGTAGAAGCAGGTAATCCAGTGATGTGCGGAGTAATGGTAGAAATGCACACTCACCAGACGCGCATCAAATATGCGCAATTAATCAAACAGCCAGAGGTCCCCTCTTATGGTGGAGTAGGATGCAGCCTGGTATGTGTAAACCTCCTCTATGGATCTGGGCGATAGGATGTCAATCAGAGGTCCCCTTAAAGGTAAGCTGCGGTGGGGTCTGGTGTAGGTCTCTCTCCTCTGGGTCTTGGGATGGTCACCTGCGGAGTTAAATGCTCGGTACAGAGCAAAAAAGTATGGTGCCCATAGTGTAGTATTCCTTATGAAAGGTTTATTAACTTGTTCAATTAAACTTTGACAATAAAACCTGGAAGCCGATTGGTTTCTCCACAGAAATGCACCAGATTATGAGCTCTCCGTTTTAGGAAATCAACCCCCAATATCTCCATCCCATAACAGTACTCACTATATATGTGCAAAATTATATGAACTGTGAACTAATGTCCACGAAAGTCCTTGCGTTCATTTACCCATGTTGTGGAACAGTGAAAAATCTCCTCGCTGAAACGAAAAAAATATCCAAACGTGCTCCTGAAAAATCTCCACCACCAAGAGAAGCTACAGACGGGTTCTCACCTCCACACGGCACTGATCTCACTGCTACCCAGACAGGAAGTCTCTCTGGAAGACAGGAAGTGATGTCAGGTACAGACTGGACGTGATGTCAAGTATAAATAGGAAGTTCTGGGTGAGAGGTGAGGTGGGAGGAAGTAGAGAGGAGACGTTGGTGGAAGTGGCAGCAGAGGAGGTAATAAGATGTTATTTCCTATTTACACCCAGTAACCCTCCGTCATGTCTGTCCTCTTCCTCCATAGTCACGTCCGTCCTCTTCCTCCATGGTCACGTCCGTCCTCTTCCTCCATGGTCGCGTCCGTCCTCTTCCTCCATGGTCGCGTCCGTCCTCTTCCTCCATGGTCGCGTCCGTCCTCTTCCTGCATGGTCGCGTCCGTCCTCTTCCTCCATGGTCGCGTCCGTCCTCTTCCTCCATGGTCCCGTCCGTCCTCTTCCTCCATGGGTCCCGTCCGTCCTCTTCCTCCATGGTCCCGTCCGTCCTCTTCCTCCATGGTCCCGTCCGTCCTCTTCCTCCATGGTCCCGTCCGTCCTCTTCCTCCATGGTCCCGTCTTCCTCTTCCTCCATGGTCACGTCCGTCCTCTTCCTCCATGGTCCCGTCCGTCCTCTTCCTCCATGGTCCCGTCCGTCCTCTTTCACAGTCACTGTGACGTCTTTTATCTCTAGCAGATGATGATACACACATATTTCCACCCCAAAACTTGTACATCTCACCCTCACATCTACCATCTCCCTACTACTGCTCTCATCACCTCCTGCTGATACTTCACTCTCCTGCTGACCCAAACACCAGGACTGGAAGGCATGTGCGCTCGTGTACATCCCGCTCCCATCTTACTTTCCTCACCCTCCTTCTTCTCCTAACCTTTGGGGATATCTCCCCAAACACTGGTCCTCCACTATCTCACCCCCGCACCAGGCACCCTCCTTCTCCTAACCTCTGGGGATATCTCCCCAAACCCTGGTCCTCCACTATCTCACCCCCCCGCACCAGGCACCCTCCTTCTTCTCCTAACCTCTGGGGATACCTCCCCAAACCCTGGTCCTCCACTATCTCACCCCCCCGCACCAGGCACCCTCCTTCTCCTAACCTCTGGGGATACCACCCCCGCCCCAAACCCAAACCCTGGTCCTCCACTATCTCACCCCCCCGCACCAGGCACCCTCCTTCTCCTAACCTCTGGGGATAACCTCTCCAAACCTGGTCCTCCACTATCTCACCCCCGCACCAGGAACCCTCCTTCTCCTAACCTCTGGGGATATCTCCCCAAACACTGGTCCTCCACTATCTCACCCCCGCACCAGGCACCCTCCTTCTCCTAACCTCTGGGGATACCTCCCCAAACCCTGGTCCCCTCCACTATCTCACCCCTGCACCAGGCACCACCACCCTCCTTCTCCCTAACCTCTGGGGATAATCTCCCCAAACCCTGGTCCTCCACTATCTCACCCCCGCACCAGGCACCCTCCTTCTTCTCCTAACCTCTGGGGATATCACCCCAAACCCTGGTCCTCCACTATCTCACCCCCGCACCAGGTACCCTCCTTCTTCTCCTAACCTCTGGGGATATCTCCCCAAACCCTGGTCCTCCACTATCTCACCCCCGCACCAGGCACCCTCCTTCTTCTCCTAACCTCTGGGGATATCTCCCTCAAACCCTGGTCCTCCACTAATCTCACCCCCCGCACCAGGCACCCTCCTTCTTCTCCTAACCTCTGGGGATATCTCCCCAAACCCTGGTCCTCCACTATCTCACCCCCACACCAGGCACCCTCCTTCTCCTAACCTCTGGGGATATCTCCCTCCAAACCACCCTGGTCCTCCACTATCTCACCACTATCTCCACACCAGGCATCCTCCTCCTTCTCCTAACCTCTGGGGATACCTCCCCAAACCCTGGTCCTCCCACTATCTCACCCCCACACCAGGCACCCTCCTTCTCCTAACCTCTGGGGATATCTCCCCAAACCCTGGTCCTCCACTATCTCACCCCCACACCCCCAGTCACCCTCCTTCTTCTCCTAACCTCTGGGGATATCTCCCCAAAACCCTGGTCCTCCACTATCTCACCCCCACACCAGGCATCCTCTTTCCTCCAGAATAGCCGCAATCCCCTCAATTTAATCTCAATCCCTGTGCTCCTAAAAACCACCCTCCCTTTTTCATGTGCGCTCTGGAATGCCTGCTCTGTCTGTAATAATCTCACCTCTGTCCATGACCTTTTTGTCTCCCGCTCCCTTCACCTACTAGCAATTACAGAAACCTGGCTCCAAGCAGCAGATTCTGCTTCTCCCGCAGCACTTTCCTATGGAGGCCTCATCTGGACCCACTCACCCAGACCCAGTGGTCGGAAAGTTGGTGGGGTTGGTTTGCTTCTATCCCCACTGAGCACCTTTCAGGTCCTCCATAACCCTCCCTCTCTATCCTTCTCTTCTTTTGAGACTCACTGCATCCGGCTGTTTTCTCCCATTTCTCTGAGGATTGCAGTGATCTATCGGCCTCCTGGACCGGTGTTGCGCTTTTTTGATGACTTCGCTGCCTGGCTACCCTACTTTCTCTCCTCCGAACTACCCGCTATCATTCTCGGAGATTTTAACATCCCCATTAATGTGAACAACCCGGCTACATCCCAACTCTTCAACATAACCTCATCTTTAGCCTTAGCACAATGTATACAGTCCTCCACTCACTCTGATGGAATACATTAGACCTTGTTTTCTCCCATCTTTGCACTCCCTACAACCTCACAAACACCCTCTTTTCCTCTCTCTGATCACAATCTCATCTCCTTCATAGTGTCCTCATCTTCAAACACCT